GATGGTTTTGGTGACTATTGTCGTAACGTCATATTACGCTGCATCAGATACTCTATACTAAATTAAAAAAAAAACGTCAAAGATTAACGATACAGTTCTGGTTTTAATAAACATTAATAACGATAACAGAACTAACGATATTAAGGAAAACATCTGTAATAATGAAGTACACAAACAGAAAAAAAAATTGAAAAAATACCCTAATACTTTGTATCGCCTCCCCTGGCTGCTATAACTGCCTGTATACGTTTGTTCATACTGTCATTGAGGGTGTGATTTCAAAGCAAACCGTTTTAAAAAAAAAAATAAAAAAATTCAACTATTTAAAATTCGCCCTCATTTCAAGAACTAAAAGGTCTAGGACAAATCTGTGTGTGCCATGTTTTTTAGCTTCATAAAAAGTAGCACATTAATGCGAAGATCGCATTTATGCACCTCGGTACATAGTACATATAGGATAAATAGCAATGTGTGGTTCTCCATGAATAACATTGATAGTGAACCATACTGTATTGAACGAGACCACACATGCTTTTTAACTCTATAAACAAGGAAACTAATTAAAAAAGCCTTTAATAGCTTAAAAGTTAACCCGTTAAAACAATGGTGTGCATTTTATTATGTGAAATACCATTAAGGTTAACTGGTAGGAGCGGTCACTGTCCGCGAAGATAATAGAAACAGATATGTATTGGGAGCAGATATGTATTTCCGACTTACAGATATAGATAACAAAACACGGCAATCGAATGTCAAGAAAACAACATATATTATTCTTGTATAATTGAATTACGTTAATGTTACTAAAATGTACGTAAACATTTAAATTCTGAAAGTGGGCAGATCAATGAATAGTTTATGCAATAGGCAATCTATTAATAATCACAGCACGAATGGCTTATAGGTTTTGAATTTTTAAATGTTATGTAAATTCTTGCAGTAAATCAACCTGGGGTGCCATTAAAAACTGTAAAAGGTGTAATTAGCGTGTCAGTTAATACAAATTGACTTATCTGGAAATAGTATATATTATTTTGCTTGTTTTAATCTTGAATTTTGCGAAAATACAACAATTGCCTTTTTTGTATGCGTATATAAAAACTGTGTTAGAGGATTTTAACAATTAGTTTTTATTTTGGATTTTCTTTATCTTCTTGAAAATTTACTTTAGCATATTAAAAATAGCATATTGTATTATTCGGAGTAAAAATATTTTTTTGTGCTTCGCCTGTATTGTCGTCAAACGTACAGCTTCAACAGAAAATGTATCATTTTTACTCTTAATAAATAAATAAATAAATAAATAAATCTTTATTGACTACGTATTTATACAAAGTATAATTGTAGCAGGTCAGAGTAAATAACAAACAGATAAGAATTCATAAAAATACTAAAAGTTAGAAAAAAAACAATACACGGAGGCAAAGTGTGTAACATTAAATACATACAAGACAAACAACAATTTAAGAATTTTTGTACAAATAAATAAAATTAAATCTAAGTTCCCATCTACCTGCTCTATAAACTCATCCACGCTATAAATTCCAGATTTCCCTAAAAATATCTTAAGCTTATATTTAAATTTATTAAAACATAGAGTTTTTAATTCCATTGGAAGACGGTTGTATAAATCAATGCGTAGAGAGTTTCTAGCTGATTTATCCAGTCTATAGAAATTGGTTCGTATTAGATTGGCAGATCTTGTTCCATAATTATGACAGTCAGAGTTAACTGTCAGATAAGATTTAGTTTTATGTACTTCCAAAAGTTGATTTAATATATACAGAGCAGGCAGTGTAAGTATATTCAGTCTAATAAAGTGGGGCTTACATGTATCTCGATAGCCAACACCACATAATATTCTAATAATTACCCTTTTTTGCAACCGAAATATTTCAATAGAATTTGTCGAGTTCCCCCACAAAGCCACTCCATAGGACATATGGGAATGAAACAAGGCATAGTCTGTGGCATAGTACGAATTCAACAAAGACTCCTGGCAGATTAACGCTTTAAGTTTACGCATCAAGTATACCACCGACGAAAGTCTGCGTTTAAGATTTTCAATATGTGGTACCCAACTGAGTGTACTATCCAGTGTAATACCCAATAGTTTAGCACTATTCATTTCTAAATCCTTAGACCATCTGGAGGAAAAAAATATGTTTTGCGTTTTATCGCGATTCAGTTTCAGGCAATTTGTGTGAACCAAGTCTCCGCACGTTTCATCAACCTTTCGCTTTCAGTCACTAGCAGATCCATATTTTTATTTCTACAAGACATTGAACTGTCATCCGCAAACGCTCGACACTTATTTGGTAGAAGGTAATTAAAAAGGTCATTAATATAAATAATAAAGAGCAGTGGTCCCAGTACAGATCCCTCTGGCACACCACTCTCCATCAAACCTACTTCAGAAACCGCATTGCCAAAGTCCACGCACTGTCTACGCCCGTCGAGATAGCATTAGATTTACCAGCTCTCCCTTTTCAAAGCCCTTGACTATGTCCGACACAACCCTACCAACAGCCTGAACCGCAGATCTCACCAATATCATCATCATTTTCAGCTTATTCAACTATTTCCAATTATGCTGTAGCCTCCCTCACATATTAAGATACTCTCTTTGTAGTTGGACCCAATGTTGTCTATTGTTGGATATGGGGGCCTAAGTTATCCCTGCTAATTTCCTAGTATCATGTGCCCATCTCAAGTTTGGTCTTCCTGTAGGTCTCTTGATTCCTCGTAGGTACCATGCTATGATTTTTTTGGTCCACCTGTTACTATACTATTTAATAGGGAAATATATTTTATTTTAGCAAAGAATAATTTTTTATAGTCTCTAATATTTTTTAAGTTGAATTTCTTGAACTTGAATGAATACAGAAAAAAGTGGATTAAATTTTCTATATCTCAGTCAGACAAGAAACGTATAACAGGACACCCTACCTGTTTTTGAATACAAAAACCTAATTTAATTATATACCAATTAGCGTAGATATATGTTGTTTAATGAACTTAGCCACAAATATTCATAACAAAGAAAAAAGCAATATGCAATTGAATAATAAATGATGTTAAACTACTTTCAAAATATAGATATTAAATTTATTATTTTGCATGTAACTGTTTTAAATTTGCAGATATTGAAATAATAATTCTTCTTACATCAGCTTCTTCTTCATATTCTTTCTTTACATCATATGAACAATGAAAAAAGCAAGATTAAACATTATTTTTCTTGTCAGTTTTTGTATACTTATTCATGAATTGCACAAATTAAAAAATGCCTTTTTTTAGAAAAATCCAGTAATTGTTTGAAAATTAAGTTGAATTATTGTAGTAGAGGATAAAGCGTTTTGTTGTTGAATGCAGTGTGGTTTAATAATTTGTATCCAAATAATTGAACCAAGTTGTTTTCAACAAAAAAAAACGCTTTATCTGCTACTAGAGAAATTCAGCTTTGTTAAGAAATGAATATTATGATTTAAGCTCTAATGCCATATAAGAAATTTGCCCAAGTTCTTGTGCTGCACTAATTTCAGGTCTATAACTGAATATTTTTTTAAAAATTTTTTCTTTTAAGCTTCATTCAGAACATCGTAATAAGTGGAATAAATTAGTGGTTTCAATTACGTTATATACTTAAAAATTTAATATTATTCACAATGTCTAAAAAATACAATTGAAATTAGTAGAATATTCTAGCAAACGCTTGCGGTAGTCAGTTGTATCTATAGAGAAAGTTTAATAATTAGCTTATAAAACAATAAACTTTTGATTTCTAACCACAATTTCACCAGAATCAGAAATACTTCATTTAGAACCTCGCAATTAGTGGAACAAATTTGTGGTTTTAATTACACTTTATACTTTTTAGTTTATGATTATTCACAATGTCTAAAAAAACACAACTAAAATTAATAAAATATCCTAGCAACAGCTTGCGGTAGTCAGTTGTATCCATAGAGAAAGTCTAATATTTAGCTTAAAAAACAATCAACTTTTGATTTCTAACCTCAGTTTCTCTTGATTGATGATAATCAAAGCCCAAAATGACATTCCTCGCAAATTTTGAATTATATTTAGTGGAAAAGTTAAGAGTTTGTTAACTTTTTCTACTAATTGAAAATGAATACCACTAATTTTGATGTTCTAAATGCTTACATTGAAATTAAAGGAACAAACTTTTACGCTAATTGAAACCACTAATGTATACCACTAATTTCGACTTTAAGCTTCATTCAGTACCTCGAACTTAGTGGAATAAATTAGTGGTGTCAAATTAGCGTAGAAGTCTGTTCGTCTAATTTCAATGTAAACATTCAGATTCAAATTAGTGGTAGTAATTTTTAATTAGTAGAAAAAATTACTAAACTTTTAACTTTTTTTACTAATTATACTAAAAAGTTCGCGAGTAATGTCATTTTGGCCTTTGCAAGCCTTCAAGAGAAATTGTGGTTAGAAATGAAAAGTTTATTTTTCACTATGCTATTCTCTGCTTTACGTTGGTCAGATCGAGGGTGACAGCAAAGTCGGCCTGACCATGGAGAAAAATCTCCGAAACCGGTCGTCGAATGGCTGTTCCCTTCGGTCTGATGAACTTAATGCAGAGAATAAGCATATATGTAGGGTTTTTTGGCCCCTTTTTCCGCTACTCGTATTTTGTTTATTTTCCGCTACTCGTATTTTGAAAAGTTTATTGTTTTATAAGCTAAATATTAGGCTTCCTCATTACTGACTACAGCAAGCTGTTGCTAGGATATTCTATTAATTTCAATGGGATTTTTTAGATATTGTAAAATTTTAAGTATAAAGTATAACCTTTACTTTCAAAATTTGATCCCAATTCCTCATTGCTATATTTTTTTCATGAACGATTGCTATTTGTTGATAACATTTTGTTCATATGTCACTATATGACATACATTATCTCTTTTAGGTTTAACACAGTACTGTGTATACCCTGTATAATTTATAACAAAAAACATATTTTTAAGGTTACATGGCTGATAGATTCGGAAGGAAAATCACAATGATGTGCCTCGCTGTACCCTCAATATGCGGTTTTTGTATTTTAGCCTTTGCTAAAGTAATCGAAGTTTGGTACTTTGCAAGGTAAGATTCAGTTATCGGTCGCATTATTTGCTCTATAACATCATTTCTTTTAGGTTTCTGCTAGGGATTGGAGTAGGATGTTATTTCGCTATATGCCCTATGTACGTGGCGGAAATATCTCAGAATCACAACAGAGCCAAGTTTGGATGCCTGTTTGGCGTTTTTATAACGCTGGGCTTGTTTTATCCATTTTCGATAGGGCCGCATCTTATAATACCGTTTTATGCGATGAGCTGTAACGTGCCTTTGATTCTATTCTTAATATGTAAGTATCTATTTGTATATTTTTATCTTAGACTTAAAGAGCCCTACACGCAACGATATCTGGGAGATTTGAACTGTACAGGGTGGGCCAAATTGGACGCTTTTAAATGGAAATATCCTTTACTGTAGGAGACCAATGAATTTGGAGAATAATATTGGTGTCTGGAGCTCAATTTTTATCAATAACATGATGGTGAAAAACGCATATCGATGTTACCGTTTCGGAGTTACGGGGTATTTTTCAAAAATGTGCATTTTTAACAAATCGCCGTAACTTTTTTGCTATGGAAAATTTTGTATTTTTATGAAAACATTTCCAAAGTAGTAAGTTTTTTTAAAATTAATCATTGAATTATCAACAGAAAACCTGATTTATTATATGGGACATCCTGTATATTTTTAATTCATTGAAAATAATTTAAAATTGCCTTTCCAAAAATATAGTATACTTCATATTTTGTTTTATTCCTCTTCGAAATATAGAGTGTTTAAAAATTCGCCCACTTTAAATAAGTAGACTTTGAACGGCTGTATTGCAAAAAAAATTCTAGCTGTGAGCAGCAATTAAAACAAAAATTATATTTGCAATGAGAGATGCCGAATTTTATAACAATTTAAACTATACTAAACAACATCAACACATTTAAACTATATTTAATAACAATATAAAAAAGCAAACCAAGACATGAGATTTTGCTACAGGCGTTCGACATATCGACCGTCTTCTGTTATGGACAGACGGGGTAGTTTTTGATAATTTCTCGCGGAATTCATTAACTCAGTGGGGGTGAAAGATACCCTCGCATAACCGCTAAGTACTTCTAATTCTTGTCTAGATTATACGAGCAATTTAACAATAAGGACCTTTATTCTTCCGCAAAGGTAGAAATCCATAGACACTAAGTCCGACGGCCTCGACGACCAACGGCTGGGATCTTGGTTAACTATCCAATTATTCTCGAAATTGGCTGCAAAAATTTGCTCATATCTTCAACGTTCTGAGACGGTGGCTCGTCTTGCTGTAAAAATCTGTTTTCGAGTTCCATTAGGGGCAGATCATCAATAATGAGTCTACTAGTTAAAAGTGGCGTACTTTCGAATTCTGTATTTCGAAAGGGACTATAACAAAATATCAAGTGTGCTATATTTTTGGAAAGGTAATTTTATGTTCTTTTCAGCTAATTAAAAATATACAAGGTATCCCAAAAAAAAAATCAATTTTCTGTTGATAACTCTTAAATTATTAATAAAAAAAAATATATACTTAAACTACTGAATTCTACGTAAAAAGTTGATTTGGAAATGTTTTCATAAAATTTTTCAGAATAAAAAAGTTACGACAATTTGTTAAAAATGCACATTTTTGAAAAACATCCCGTAACTCCGAAACGGTAACAAAAGTCGATGTGCGGTTTTCACCATCATGTTTTTGATAAAAATTGAGCTCCAGACACCGATATTAGTTTTTGTCTATCTCCTATAGAAAAGGGTGTTTCCGTTTGAAAGCGTCTAATTTGACCCACACTATAGAATCCTTCGATTCAGTCCAAATATCAACTTGTATTGACGGTTTCGATAAAGACCTCATCGAAGAGATGATACCTGCGATCTTTCAACATGTTCAATATTGCAGATACAACATATTTGGTGGTAACTGTATAGACTATAAACTGACGAAATCATGTTTTATAAAATCTGAACGTGCAGTGTGAAAACATCGCTATCGATTTGATAGATCTGAACTGTGCATGCGATTTAGCATGCAGATCAAATCGTTGCGTGTAGGACCCCTCTTAGATCAAGAAACAAAATCAAGTACTAATAATAATTCACCACATTATACTAAAATACCTTACTTTTACCACTAAATTCGAGTTTCTTTTACCACTTTAGCATCATTAGCAGATGATTATTCTGAAAATTTTCTTTATGTTCATCTGCAGGTTTATATTATTTATTATAATAGTGTACCAAACTTCAGTGGGTAATTCTAGATAAAATAAATTAATTACAATGTAATTAAGACAAGTTAATTATTACAGTTAATACTAGTGCTTCTTTTAAACTTTAAGAGGCTGTTTTATTTACATTCTCCGTCTCTAAAACTTGGAATAACAAAGTCATTTCAAAGTAAATAGCATTTCAAGAATGAAGTTTGAAACTTGCTGTTTAGGTTTATTACAGCGGAAGAAAATAAAGTTGCTCTTTTTAGTTGCGCTGGCCGTTTACCATTTTTAAACGTGATAAACCGATTAAATCGTAAACGTAAGTGATCGAGTGAGTTGTGGTTTTGTCTAATATTCTTAATGTTTGATGATGACTGGCGTTTATAGAGTTAATGGAACTAACGATCAATAACCTCAGTATAAACGATGTTATGATTTTTTTACATAACTGGATTTTTGAAGCTTTATACAGAGTGCTACAAATTCGAGGTAGGAGCATTGGTATCTCGGAAACCCTAATAGATACGAAGATAGTTAAATTGGGGCAAAGTTGCGCTTTGTTTTTTTTTGTTTGTTCATGCTTGTTTTTTTGGAAAATCAATTTTATTTTTTCCTGTCATTACATTTTAGAAAATCAAAAAATTAATTACAAATTCTCATTGCTACTTTATTAGGGCTATATGATAGTACTTTTAGATTTTCAAATTAGCTGATAATTTGTAAGATACAGAGGCCAACTTATTTTTTTTAAATACGGGCCTGCATTTTTTATTTCAGGTTTTGAAAGAACTCGGTCTCCTTAGTATAATATGTCACACTTGATACTTTTTTTTGTTTTGGGTACCTTAATAACAACAAAACTAAAGAGAAATTAAAACAATTTTCGTTGCACGTCATCAATGACACCATGCGTCGTATTATGGAGTTTGCTGGTGGTCGTATTATGATGTGCAACCAAAGTTATTTTAATTTCCCCATATTTATTTATTATTTAAAGTAATTTCAAGTACGACTCTGGATTTTTAAATTATTTAATCTGATTATATTCATCGCAACAATATTGATCAGCGCTAATTAACATTGAATAAGGAAAATCGTGCCAATTCAAAGATTCAAATAAATCATATCCAGGTCAGCAATTTAAGGATGTTATTTTTAACTTTTTTTATTGTGAATTTGGAATCTAACGTACGATCTAATAATATTCATAATATTAATTGTAGTTATTATAAATAAATCAACTTCTATAAACTAGTTTTTAATGCTCTACATGTTCGAAAGGGTTACCACCCTCCCTAATACACAAATTTATTGTTCAATCTTATTTATAGCTCTTTGAACATAACTTCTTATTATAGTTCCGAGTGCATTTTGTACTCTTTATTGTAAATATTGAAATGTATTGATTTCACTTTTACAAAGTAATGCCCCTTTAGTTATTGCATTTGATTTTCCGTATTTAATGTCTTACCCCACGTCATTATTAAGTTTGAAAGCTTATCAATATTGTAACGATAAATAGACTAAATCTTAAAAAAAAACAGGCGATCTTGAAATTAGTTTAAATAAATTATGTTCAAATGTCCGAAACAAAAAAAATATTAAGTGCGGCATATACTCGGAGACCGAATTCTTTCAAAATCTGAAATTAAAAATGCAGGTCCGTATTTAAAAAAAATTAAGTCGGCCACTGTATCTCACAAATTATCAGCTAATTTGAAAATCTAAAAATATTATCAGATAGCCCTCATAAAGTGGTGATGAGAATGTGCAATTAGTTTTTTGATTTCCTAACGCCAGGAAAAAATAAAAATAATTTTCAAAAAAATCCGTTTTTTCTAAAAAACTCAGAAATCCATGAAATTTTAAAAAAAGTTTGATGGTATCTTGGTGAACATTCTAAAGCGCAACTTTGCCCCAATTTAAAAAAAAGTAAAGTAAAGATTTCAGTTAACGTCTCCTTTTTGCTGCCAGGGCCACTTTGTTTACGCGGAATCCGAACCGCGGTCCTCGGCCATATCATGGCCAATGGCCTACCGACTTGGCAAGTGTCTAAATCGACTCTTACTCACGAGATATCCGATCTCATCCGACCTCGAACCGGCGTGAAAGAGCAGTGTGTGTCAATAGATTTTAGACTTTTGCCTTTTTTGGACAACAGCACGATACAGAGTTTCGAACCGGTCATCCGTCCATCCACTAGTATCACCTTACGTCGCTTAACTTCGGTGTTCTAATGGGAACCGGTGTTTCGACGTAGCTGGGCCATTGCCCTACCCCAATTTAACCATGTTCGTATCTATTACGGTTACCGAGATGCCAGTGCTCGTACCTCAAATTTGTAGCACCCTGTATATACGGTGAGTCTTAGATAAGTGCAAATATTTTTAAAGGTGGTATATTTCGATCTCGGAAAAACGTCTACTTATTATATTTTTTTTCGCGAAAAATTGATTTTGTATTTGGTATTTTTTAAAAAAATGGACTTTTAAAAAAAATAGTGAAAAAATATAATGCCTTGCTAATAAGCGTATAGCAACATAGGTATATTCGATACTAATTAAACTTTTAGTTGCGTAATCGATGGCGCGATTTTTAAATTCATTATTGCCAACCATGGACATATTCGGCGCCGGACTGACTAATTGGAATTTAAACTTCCCGCTGGGGATTCAGGTGGTAGCCCTAATGTAAAAAATGTCAAGTTGTTACATTTATTTATTTATTTCCTGACATTGTCATTCGTTTTGACACTTTAGTTTTGTATTACGAATTTTTGGTTTAAATGAATTATGATGTGATAGCAGTGGCGGACTAAGGGGGGGGCGGAAGGGGCGGGCCCCTTCTTCTAGGGGGCCTCCAAATCTTAATAAGTAATTTTTTATTCAACTGGCAAACAGGCCATTATGTGTTCAGTTAGTTACAAATTGCTTATAAAGCAATTTGTAGTTAGAGTATGCAAACCATAAGTATACGCAAACTAAACACAGTATAAATGGAAGCAGATATTTACTTAATTATCAATTATTAGGCCCCAGCAATTGTCAATGGAATT